CTGCTGCTATCCTGACATTGACTATTGAAAGTCAATTTCGGGTGCGTGCCACACGCTCATTTGTCCAGTTTATGGCCAACATCATTTGTTTTCGCCATTTTTGCCAATGAGGCGCAAACGCCTTTTATGCGTTCCAATAAATTCTCGCTTCCGGCATTCGGAAAAACTCCCTAAATATCCCTAATACCTGTTTATTGTTGCAGTTTCCCAGTGAAAACTGAGCGCTGTGTGTTTACAAGGCTGCTGATGCTGCATTACAAATGAGCACCGGCCGTTTCAAAGTTGAAAGTTTAATTTGCTGCCTAGCTGGGCAATTTAACTGCCGAAGGGTCAGCGTTGCATAATATTAGGCTTAAATCAGGGGAATTTTCTCTATTAAGTGGCTTAAAGAGGCGTGTATTCGGGTGACAGTCACCTCTTTTAAGTGCTGGCAAATTAATCAGTTGACTAATTATTGAAATTTACAACGAGGTAAACATGTTTAGTTAACCCTAAGGAGAAAACTTAATTTAATAATGCTGAAACTGGGACCTTGTGGCTTTTAGTTTCCTTATTAATTATTTTGGCAAGGTTAAACTCAGAATATATAATCCAACTGGCCTTTAATCTTTCGTTACTTGCAAATCGATAAGTAACCTGAAACATTTTAACCTCGGTTAAAACAAATATTATTTCATGTCCCCTTTTTCTGTGTTTGGCCTCATGAAAATTTATGAACTCCGGGATTTTACAATTCTCCATTAAGTGCTGCGAGGCCAACAGAAAACAGAAACTGAAAGCCGAAATGGGGTGGACCAAATAATCAAATTGCAGTTTCCAGCTGTCAGTTTTTACATTCATGTTTTTCGGTTATTTTCTCGGCAGACCGGCAAAAACACAGAGGGCTTGGAAAAAAATCTGTTAGAAATCCTATTTATATTTCGAAACAATAACCATTCAATTCCATCTAACGACTGGGTCGCTGGATGCTGGACGCTGGCCACCGGCGAGCATAACGAACCAATTGAGCTGGCCACGATCCTTTGGGGGGCGGTGGGGCGGTAACAGGGCGCGGCATTTATTAGCAATTGCTATGGCGGCGCCTTCTGTACAAAAATTCCCCAAACAAGCAGCCTTTAAAGCGGAAAAGGACATGAGGCACAGGACATTGGGCGGTAGACGAGACCAACAGGACACCACAGGCGCGACGACACAAACAAAACGTGATTCGCATACAAATAAACAAGGATACAAAGGATTCCATTCCTCCACCACCCACACAGGCACACACAATCGCACACACACATGACCCTTTGGGGCCTCGGAATTGAAACAAATGCCACAGTGCAGGGCGTGCCTATAAATTTTTCACCAAATACATTGGCCATAGGTGCAGTTGCAGTTGCAATAGCAATGTTCGGGTGGCTCGATGGGTGGTGGCTCAGATACCAGCATGAGTGGGTGTGGTTCACGGGGCTCAAAAGGTCCGTGAAATGGCCAACTGGGGCATTGTTTAGGGGCCGGCGCTCAACTGCCCGCACACGGACAACATTTGAATGCAAAGCAGGCTTGGCCGGCGGTTGATGTCACTCCTCAATCAAACACTTAAAAAAAAAGAAGTCACCCGAAGTCAAAAAAATACATATTTATATGGCTTTTCAATAATTTTCCGTAAGCTAGATTTAATATGGATGATAAATAAATAAAAGTACCAATTGCACTAAAGGACTTTTATTTTTAAACAATTATAAAATAAAAGAGAGCGTCTAAAAGTATGCAACACCATTTTTTAAGCCCTAAAGTGATATGAATTAATAGAAAAAACGACTATCCTTTATTTGGTGCATAATTCTGGGCACATATTTTAAGAGTGATTTAAAATGCCAAGTTATTTCTGTGGCCTACCATAATTCCCAAGTTATTGTAGAAATTTATAAAATAATTTAACAAAGAATTTAATTACAAAAATATTATAAAGATATGGGAACATAGAAAAATCTAAAAAATCTAAAAAATCCTTGAAAAAACACAAACCAACTTACAACCAACAACAGCACACGGACAACATTTGAATGCAAAGCAGGCTTGGCCGGCGGTTGATGTCACTCCTCAATCAAACACTTAAAAAAAAAGAAGTCACCCGAAGTCAAAAAAATACATATTTATATGGCTTTTCAATAATTTTCCGTAAGCTAGATTTAATATGGATGATAAATAAATAAAAGTACCAATTGCACTAAAGGACTTTTATTTTTAAACAATTATAAAATAAAAGAGAGCGTCTAAAAGTATGCAACACCATTTTTTAAGCCCTAAAGTGATATGAATTAATAGAAAAAACGACTATCCTTTATTTGGTGCATAATTCTGGGCACATATTTTAAGAGTGATTTAAAATGCCAAGTTATTTCTGTGGCCTACCATAATTCCCAAGTTATTGTAGAAATTTATAAAATAATTTAACAAAGAATTTAATTACAAAAATATTATAAAGATATGGGAACATAGAAAAATCTAAAAAATCTAAAAAATCCTTGAAAAAACACAAACCAACTTATAGGACAACATTTTCTTTGCCTGCATCGATGCTCCAACCAACATGTCCCCAGAATCTCCTTGGCCAAGCTGCTTAGATGCCGCCTGTCAATGCCAATTACGAGCGGGTGCAGAGTTCAAGTGGCTGGCACAAATCACGGCGCGAAATGAAGAGTCAACTATCGACCTCTCGATGGTAGAAGCTCGTCCTCAGCTGGAGCTTGATGCATGTGCAGCAATTTCAGAGGCGAGTACATGCTGATCATTTGTCCAGGGATCCCCGGAAAATCCCCCCAACCGCCCGGAAAATCGTGTGACGAGCAGAGCAGAGCCGAGCATTTTGGCAAATAGTTTTGCCAACTGCCGCTCACCTTGATGGCAAATCCCTGGGTAGCCGGGCTGCCGAGGAATTCCATCAGCTGATCGATTAGTCGTTTGCCGGCGAAGCAAATACTTTCAACCGAGGGGAACGGGAATGCCGCCTGTCAGTGGAATGTGGCCAGTAGAAGTGGGAGTGGCACCCCCTCCCACCACCCACATGTCACGTTTTATGGCTGCCAGGGCGAGTTTATCTTTGGCCGACAGCGTCAACGTCTGTTGCGAGTCGAGTCCTCGTGAGTCCTCCCATGTCCTTGGCCATTTTGTTGCAATTTATATGTGCTTTTATGCACTTGAGTTGGCACACAGCCCCCCGAAGCTCCTCCCACCTTCGACACTTGGCCATCTCTTACTCGCTAAATTGAGCAGCATTTTTCCCTCAATTCAATCTGGGAAAAAAACTCAGATTCCGTTTGAAGTGTGACATAACATTTAGCCTCATTAGGCGTGCTACTAACTTGTACGCAAAAAGTTGTGCAAATTTAATCAGGAAATCAGAAAATCGTATGTAAATATTTGAACTTTAGGCTTTTGGCTCTAATGAAGCATTCAGCACTCAGCTTTTAGCATTAAAGGCCGGAAAATGTGCGAGAGAGTGCGGGGATAATCACTGCATATGAATTAAAAAGTTTTCGGGGTGGCGAATGCGAAAATATTTTGTAGTTTAAAGCAATTTGAAGTCATTTGTAGCCAATTTGCGAAAAGTCTGCGCATGTATGTGTGTGCCAATGCAATTACAGTTGCACACACACACAAATACATTTGTTTGGCAATGCGCTCAGCCATTCCGACGTTTCATCGTCACTCGTCCTTTTTGTTTTTTTTTTCTGCTGCCAGCTTTATTCCTTTTTTTCTTTCGTTTTTCCAACTGCAAATGAGTCATGCTAATGGCAAACCATTAGCAAAAATGCCACTGTATGGGTGAGGGTGATAATTAAGTTGTGTGCATGTGTGAGTTTGGTGTTTCACAGAAAGAGAGAGAGAAATGTGATTTTGAAGGCTGCGTTGTTAAATATTTAAATGTATTCCATGGGCGCAAAGCCATTCCATTCGCTTTGTTGTTGGCTGGCAAGCAGCATTTGCGTTTACGCCAAAGTCTAATTGCAACCTAAGCCCAAAATAAAATTACTAAAATTGCACACAAAGAAGGGGATTTTTTCAAGGTGCCGACCAAGTGGGTTAAACGTTTGGCCGGAGCCTTGAAAGTCTTTTTCTTTTCTATAATTTACGGGGAAAAAGAATCTAGAATTGATTGCAAAAAGTGCAGAAATTACTAGTGATTTAATATCACTTATAAAAGTGCCTAAAGGTATGCAGTGAAAAAAGAAAAAGTTAGATTTTGAGCTAACAAAAATATTCTAGCATACTTTCACGCACCTTAAAAAATTTAAAATTTTAAAATTCATTTAATTTTTTACTAAAATAAATTGAATCTTTACGATAAATAAAGCTCCAAACCCTCCACTCTCTATTACTTAGTCAAATTAGTTTCGTGGTCTTTCTCAGCTACACAAGTGGCAAAAATGCAAACCAAAATGACAGGCCACCAAACTGAGGACTTACTATTTCATTTTCATTTACCTTTAATTGGGCTAATCAACCCGCTAATTGCACTCGCTATTAGCCGCCGGGGCAAACCGAACTAAAGTGGTTGTTGGCGACAGGACAGGACAGCAGAGGACAGGCAGGCAGATATTTTATTGTTATGCGTTCGCGCCGCAAAGCACTTCAAAATTGCACTTTAATGACTAATTTAGACACATGCCGGGGAAAGGACATTAAAGGACGTTCGGTGGCAAGGACGTGAGAGCCGGGCGGAAGTGGAAGTGCACACTTGAGCAATGGCGATACGACATTTCCTTAATGAAGGCGAGGGGCATAAAAGTTGATGGCCCTCCGGCTCATTTGGCTGCACATATATGCACATAGAGCACATATGAACTAAACGGGGCCAACGGGGCGTATGTGTAATTATAACAAGTTCGGTCTTTTGACAGTGCTCCATTTTGTGCACTTGTCAGCTTTTTGTCACGTCTCCCCTGTCGCTCGATGGGCTGTCAAAGTTTCTGTTCTGTATCTTAGTTTTGGTCCTCTGAACCTCGACTCACCTGACACTAGCAGCTCACTGGTGCTGTTGACCAAATTGTCCATAATTGGCTGGAATGTGTAGAACGTCAGCGTTTCCAATTTGTTTGCCTGCACGTTGATGGACAGCAGGGCGGGGGTTCCCCTCAGCAGACCATTGTCGATTTTCTTCAGCAGATTGTTTCGCAGATTCAGGGTTTTCAGTGTATTCAGACCATCCAAAGCTCGTTCAGAAATTCGCTAAAAAAAAAGAAAAATTTTGTTAAGTTAAAAGGATTAGTTTCTAGTTTGTTCTTAAATTTGATTAAACATGAAAATTTTTTGTTTGCGGGTGCAAAATGTTATTCTCGCCACATAGCATAGAAAAACCCGAAAAATATTTTCGTGCTGCCATTTTTCCGCATTTCTGCGTATTATTTTCATTGTTTTTCACAGAGTTTCGCTTTTCGTGTGCGGCATTGTTGTTGTCATTGTCTTCATTGTTTGTTTGCCAATTTATTTATGTGTATGTATATGTGGCACATATACAAGCGCAATCACACCCATATACACGAACTCTTGTGTTTTCTCTGCTTTTTTAACTTGTATGTCCCAATTCGTTTGTCTTGAATTTTATTATACGGAAAAAAAGTGTTTTCTTTTATTTTATTTCTGGTTTCTGCTTATTTTGTTTTCTGTTTTCGGTTTTGTTTGGCTGAACAACGAAAGTGAAGGCGGCGTATTCCGCCATTATTTAATATTCAATATGCTTTGTCTGGGGAAATGGAAAAATTATGCATATTAAATGATGGCCTCCAAGGCGGAGGAAGTTCCCTGCGCTCCGGTGATGTGGCATTGAAAAATATAACCCACCATTCGCTTCATGTTTGTTTATTTGCCCAGATGATTGACATATAAAAAAATATATCTGTATTTATTTTATTGCGATATTTTGTTAGTTTGATGGGCGCGGGATCCTTCGATGCCCACGCGTCCAATTTATTAGCTTGACAACAGCGAAAAAATATAATTTACGAGCGATTTATGTGCGCGGATTGAGTAAACAAAGTTATGACAACGGAATTAATTGGTGGGCAGGGATTCGATGGAAGCCTGCCAAGGATTCCTGGGCTACACTTGGTTACATTTTCTTATAAAAGTGGTGTAAATGTGATAATTTACAAGTGTTTTCGGCTAGTATATTCCTTATAATTAAATATTTTATTAATATTTATATTCACATAAACAATAAAAAATTTAAAAGTATTTCCCCTAATATATCTCGTATATTAAAATATTAAATTAACATTTAAGAGAGAAGAGTTTTTAATATGATAGTTTAGAAATTATATCCCTAATATATCTCCTATTTTGAAATGTTAAATTAATTTATTTAAAATACAACGATTTTAAACTGCAATACTATCTACTTCTTTGAGACATACTGACTACTTTTTACCTACTTTACATTCTTACCTTCTTAGTGCTGTAATGGCTTTGCCAACTATTTTAATCTACAAAGCAGAGTGAAAGCTGCTTAAAGCTGTTAATTTCTCGTACACACTTTCACCTTAATGCACTCGGTTAGCCCCTTAGCCCCTTAACCCGATTATCTGTTTATCTTCATCCCTTGGACCAACCGCACACACATACGTGCAGCGTTTTATGTTGTGTCAGACCTAAACCTTTCAACGGCAAATGATTTATGAAGTGAGCAAAAAAAAGGAAGAAAATATAAAAAAGGGAAAGCTGACGGGGAAGCCCAAGCCAAACATGCAACACAATTTGCTTTTATTGAAGGCGACAACGACAACGACACGGACACCTAAACTTAGAAAGGGAATTTTTTGGGGCCGAGGCAAATCCGGGAATCTGGATTATGGAATCCGGGTCTCGAAACAAAGCGCAACGTGGGCGATAACAAGCCCAATCATTATGGCTCATGACAATGCGGCAAAGGATCCGAGCTGAACAGGACCCCACTTGAGCGGCTGCTCTCGAGTGTTCTTTCTGCTAGTGTCCTGTCCTAGTAGCCTGACACATATGCGAGTCGTCTGAGTGTGACATGATATGCGAGCACTTTGTAAAATGAAGGAAAAAGCGAAGGAGCAGGAGCAGCAGCAGTGGCACAATGTTGGCCCAGGATATGGATATTCAGGATTTACGCTCATACGGCTGCCTTACATAACTTTGCTTTCGTGAGTGTTAAGCGACATTTTTCTATTTACCCACACACACGCTGGCCATTTTTATGGCCATTCCAGGACACACAGAAGGGTCCCGGTTCCCATTCCCGGGATATCAGATGGCAGAGCGCCATAAATCCATTATTCCCATGATTTGTTATTCAATATTTTGTAAGTAGATTAACTTGCGGCGCACATTTGTTTGCCGAAAGGCGACTGTCAGCAGGAGGTCCTTTTGCAGAGGGTAAATGTGCGAATTAAGTCAGGGCACCCGAAACTGGACCTTGCGTCGAAAACATAATTTACCAATCTATTTATCATATTTGCACCCCCCACGATCCACCGATCCAGCGAACCACCGATGCTGAGTGACCACTTAAATCACCACAAGAATAGACATTCGAATTGAATTTATGACACCAGCAAAAAGTTGTATGTTTGCCCCCAAGGATGTGCCATTTATGGCGGCACAGTCCAGTCCTTCTTCCTTCGTCCTCGTCCCTTCTGTTTCTTATGGCCACTCGGCAATTTATGGCCTCTTAAGTCAGCTCTCCCATCCAAGTTGACCAAGTGGCCGAGGCAGACAAATCTTTTTAATCCACTTGCATTAGAGTTGATTGAGAAGTTTGGCCCTCGTAGATTGCATTCCCCTCTATATTTAGTATATGGTATATAGAGGTGCCTGTGCGGAGTGCCGTGCCATAAATAAAAGCAGTCAAACAACTATTCCGAATGCCATAAAGGCGCACTTGAAAAACTCAATCAATCTGGGAATTAATGTTTTGTCTTAAATGGGTTTTTTGTTGGGGAAATTACAGAAAACAATCAGTTACCTAGAGTCATTCATTGGGTCACATCTGATTGGTTTTTGATCTGCATTTATTTTACCTGATTGAGTAGTTCTTAAACAATATTCTGTGTCAAATGTATTGATATCTCTGTAAATATTATAGTGTTGTCTATGGCCTCCATCGATAATATCGATAATATCGGAAATAAGAAAAAATGAATAACAAATGAAACAAATAACGAAAACTTGAAAACTTAAAATTAATTGAAAAAAATTATTTTAATTAAATTATATTACTCAGCGATTCTTTCGATACCGCGGAAAATCCATCGATGTTTCCTAAATATTAAAACCATCGATAGTATTGTTTTACCAACCCTATTGAAAAGTTCTCAAATAATTTTATTTTTATTTCATAAACTTTTTCAAGGATTAAATGACTAAATAAACTCACCTCAATGCGATTATCATCCAAATCCAGTTCACTCAGACTCCACAGCTCCGCAAAGACAGTATCGCCGATAAAGTTCAGATTATTCCTAGTCAGCTTCAGCACATTCAGATTGCCCAATCCTCGGAAAATTTCGCTGGTCAGCACATTGATCTGGTTGTGGGCCAAGTTAAGCGAAGTCAGTCTGGCCATATCGGCAAAAAGGCCCTCGTGCAGAGTGCTAATGTTGTTATTGTTCAGATGAAGCGTTTCGCAGAGCGGCAGATTGCGGAAGGCATAGCGATCCATTTCGAAGATCTGATTGTGTTCCAAATTCAAGTCCCTCAGCCTAATGTGATTGGCGAAGGCATCCTGATCCAAAGCCATGATGTGGTTATTAGTGAGGATAATCTTCTCCAGGAAGGGTAAATTAGCGAAGGCATAGCTCTTGACAATCTCCACTTGCGAGTATTCGATGACAATGCTGCTCAGGTTCTTCAGCGGTTCGATGATCATGGTAGGAATATAGTCCAATCGAGCATTATTTTGGATCACAAACTTCAGCTCCCTCAGTCGCTTCTGCTGGTAGAATCGCGTCCAGGTGGTGTCATTCTGATGCAGTCCCTCCGAGAAGACCCAGCACTCGGCCTTCTGCACCGGCACATGGTTCTCATCGGGGGTACAGTAGCACATCAGCTTCATGTCCCGTCGTCGGGTACAGAAACCGGTGCTGTCCATGGGTCCACTGTAGCCAGTGCTTCCCGAGTTCACAGCACTACTGCTGGTAAACACATAGCCGCCGGAGGAGGAGGGTATTCCTGCAGATGAGGAGCCACCATAGCCATAGTTCATATTGTTGCTACTGGAGGATGAGGATGACTGGACACCACTGCTGCTGCCACGCCCCCTGTTCCGACGGTCCTCCTTGGCCCGTCCCTCGGTGGGCGCCACCAGGCAGCCTCCAATTAGCAGGAGCGAGAGAAGCAGGATGCAGGATGAAGCCGCCATTTTATGGCGCTGATGATGCGGCAACATGGCGAGCTTATTCCTATCGCTCGGCCGAGCGGATTCTGAAAGAATACACGGAGCAAAACAGAATGACGTGGTCAATAAAATTGGTTTATCTTAGATAGTTTTTGACTTACAGCACTTAAAAAAATTTCAAAGAATTAAATTTAACATAAAAAAGATTAAAATCTTTTGAGTATCAGAAAAAAGAATATCCCATAAACCTTCATAATAATTTAGCCTGCTTTAAACCTGCGGATATTTTCTTTATCTAATTCTTCTCATGCCTTAAGTACAACTCTTTCTCAGAGTGTAGCAATCGTAAAAAAGGCAAGGTGGAAATGATTCGAGCGAAAAATTTGATTTTTATATTCACGATTTTGTGTTTAAAAATATTCCCAAAATGAATATATTCTCCTGCCTAACAAATGGATTTGATTCTATGTGGTCCTCTCATAAAATTCTTAGCGTTATTTGAGGTGGCGAAAAATTGAAATGGGAATCAAAGTTGATAGCCATTCATTCGAGTTTATTTGCCCACTCGTTTCCCGTTTATTGTTTTCGCGGGGCTGAAAAGTGGAAAGTGCTTCATAAAAATGCTAATTAATGTTGTTAACTTTCTCACTTTTGCTCATATTTCATTTGGCCCAATTCAGGCAGATTCCGCGGTGGATTCATCCCAACTTCCCATTTATTTCCCCTTTTTTCAGCCCCCTGAAAGTTGAATTGGCCCGTTGCGAAGCCTCATGCTGGCTTCATTTGACGCTCGGTTGCTTTGTCACTTGGCCCTTTTCCATTTTACCATTTTACCCCCATAAACAAATTTATCGAGCTCATAAATAACTGCAACACTGTCGCTGATTGTTCGCTCAACGGCAACGGTTTCACTGAAGAGCCGAGTTTGGCCTACGTTTTTGCCGACCTTCCCCCTTAATTTTGCATTTCAAGTGTCATTGGGCAAAGTGCTCTCTAATTATGCTCGTATTTTTTAATAAATTAATAAGTCACACTGACACTGGGCATATTTCGGTAGCTGGCTTTTTGGCTCTTTGCCTCTTGGCTGGCATAATGAAGTGTAAATAAGTTATTGTCAGTTGTCAAGTGAGTTATCGTCGTTCATCGACAGTCAGCCCAGTGATTTGCATAAAATATTGTCGCAATAACAGTGAAAGATATATAGAGGGGGGATAAGGGGGATTAGGCGGATGGAAAGCCGAAAGTCACTTGAGTTATTGACTCGGGCATGCTACATTACATTGATTTCGATTATAAATTTTAAATAAAACGATGATAAGTGCTGCGTAGCATGATGCGATGCTTATGCCGGCTTAGCTGGCTCTTCCATCTCCCATTTCCATCTCAATCTTAAATCTCCAGCCCATCTCCTCCATGACCAAAGTTCAGGGGCTCAAGGAGCATTAGAAGTGGCTCACACCGCAGGATTAAGTACTCAAAATATACACGAAAACTTTGCAGCAGCCAGACGACGACGACGACGGCAGCTGAAGATGACTTGATGGCTTCAATTTAAATATCAAAGCAAAGTCTAAACTAAAATGTCCTGAAATACACATACACATGCGTGCACTTGAGGAACCACAGGATATATGGCTGAGTTGGCTGGGGAAATATCTCTCACATATTCTGGGAATTTTTAAGTGTGTCGTGAAGCAGCAAATCAAAAAATACACTCGCATGTGTGTGTAATTAGATTTTGCTTTAAGAAGCGGAAAAGGGAGAAGGAAAATCACACACTAAAAAGTTTTTACACTGATCAAAATCAAGAATAGTTGTGGTTTAAAGGGCCTTAAATGCTTTATATCAATTTTTTATATTTTTCCCATAATGCAAAATAAATCTCTAATAGAAATCTGCTATATAGCATATATAACCCATATTTTTTCTCCGTTTTTTCACACATGCAGCAACGCCTCGCTGACAGCCAATTACTCAAAGGCCTGAATGAAGGCCAAAAGGGACAAAGGGGCGTGGGAAAAAAGCTGAAAGAGAGAGCGACGTTACAAGCAAATGAAAAATCAATTTGTTGATTATGCATAAATCATAAGATTTATGCGACTCCTCACTCAGCATTCATGAGTCATTTATCAAACGAGCAAACTTCTCCTTTTTCTGCCTTCATGTCAGAATCACAAAAACAAAAACAGAAAGCGACGAAGCGAAACGCAAATCGAAGTGGCAATAGGGGCAAAAAGCATCCAGAGATGTTTCATTCATCTTGAGATGAACTAAATAAAATATACATACAGCCGATTACAAGGTCTAGACGGAGTGGCTTTCAAATCTTGGGATATATCTATATATAGAGAGATGCCATCTTTGCACAAGATTAAATGCAAGCTGCGTACAAATTTATCTGCCTGGCTTAAGTTCTTCATCTCGCAGAGTAAGCAAACACCAGCAGCAACGGCAACGGCAAACCTTGACGACAAACAATTACCAAGAAAATTATTCCCCCAGGGAAAATGGGAGAAACAGCAGCAGCAGCAGCAACTAGCAACACTACACAGGCAAAACACAGCAGCAACTACAATATTGTTGGCAGCAGCAGAAGGATAATGGGGCTGCAGCAAACTCATCGCTAAATTAAAGACAGAAACTTTAACGGGGACAATCACGACAGCAGCAGCAACATGGGCCTACCAGCAGCAATAACAAAGGGTTGTTGGGCCAATGTTGCCGTTGCAGGAGCAACATCAACTAAATTGACAACGGCAACCATTAGCAGCAACATGATCAAAATGCGGGCTAGCAGCAATATTTGCTAACCCGGTAACAGTAGCAACATTAAAGCGACAGCAGCAACATTCAATGAAAAATCATCAGAACAAGTAACATTTACGAAAGCAACAACAGCGGCAACTTCAAGGAAAGTAAAAACATTAAAGCAACCAGCAACATGAGCAATATGTGCAGCTGCAACACGAGCAACATCTTCAATAAAACCAACAGCAGCAACATTAATTGCTCAGGTAACAGTGCGAAACATTAGAGCAACTTAAGCAGCAGCAGCAACCTTAGTTCTACAGATAACAGCAGCAACATGAACCGCAGCAGCAGCAACTAATGCCATTAGAGCACAGGAGCAACAACATTAAAACTTTCAAGCAATACAAGTAACATGTAAGAACAGTAAAAGTAATAGTTGCTGGGAAACATCAGCAACATCAAGGAAAGCGGCAACTTAAAGGAAAGCCCGAGCAGCAACTGCAATAATAACATGACCAGCAACATTCAAGACAGCAGCAACAGCAACAGGAGCAACATCAGGATACGGGTTGCTGTAATGTTTTCACTGTAGTCGAGGGGAGGGGAAACTTGCAACAAGAAGCAATTTGTCTTGTTGTTTATAATTTCGATTAAACTTTCGAAGCGAGAAACGCATATGTTTGTGTGTGTTTGGGAGTCCTCGCCGGGTTTGCTGGTGTGCGTGCAAACAATGGGCCATGCAAAGGGGGGCCTGGGATCCTTCTGGCCGGGGGGAAAAGGAAAAGGCGTGTGAAAGTGTGACAGAAGTGTCGACAAAGAGCGAGGCAACCGCAGCAACAACAATGATGACGGCGACCCAGTGGGAAATTGGAGCAAAGCCGCAGCTAAGCTGACAGCCACGCAAGCAATTTCCCAGGGAGGCCGAGGGCCCGAGAGCCAGATAATATTTTCCAGCAATGGAAATTCTTAGCTTTAAAAAGGCGGTGAGCAAGTAGGGCCACCTACCAAGAAACCCGACTCGGTTTGGCCTTGTTTGCCATCTCGTATCGTATCGGCAAACTTAAGACAAACATAGAGAGGACGAAGACAAAAGCTCCGAGTCGGGATTCTGCTATGTGGAAATTGTTTTCAATTTTCGTTATTTGACAAATGGTGACACTTCCGCTGTGGCAGCCAGGACACCAGCAGCATCATCACCAGCCGGGCCAGGACTTTAACAATATGTACACACCCCCATCTCCTCCATACTTTCCGAGCCCACGTCTCTGTGTGTCATGAGGTTTTGTCAACAATAAGTTTTTATGCCGGAAGACTGGTAGTTGTTTATGGCAGTCCCCCATCAGAATCAGATGCAGCATCCTCGGGCTCAGCCGCATCATCATCATCATCAGCATCAGGATGAGCATCACTCGCCTCGCCTCGCAGCGGGTTCCTGTGTGCACGGCGGAAAAAGGGATATCTACATGAGGTTTTTATACAGATGAATCAATTTGGTAACTCTCATATTTTTTGGGGTGATTTATTTATGATAAATCTGATGATTATTATTTAGAGCATAATGTTTATTTAAATTAAGGATTATTTCTTACATGGAAAAAATATAAAAAGAATTTAATATTTAACCGGAAGTATTATAAACCACTTAATTAGGAGTTGGCATGCCTGCGGTCACATGCCTATCTTGCATTGGGCACACGACGATTCTGCTTTGTGTCGTTGTGCGCACTTTAATTTATTTTTGTATTTCTTATTTTACTCTGAGAATTTTTTTTATAATAAATAATATTTTTTATCTATGAATCTGATTACTTTAAGCCAAATCAATCAACTTTAGTTATTTCCTCTCATTTTTCTTCCGTGTAAGATTTGCCGTAAATATACGTGCGAGCAGTCCTGTTCCCATATCATGTGAATATAACTTTAAGCTGTGACATGAACGCAGCTCGGACGTGCTTGACTTTGACTGACTGACTGACTGCTTCTGACTGACTGACTGGTGAGGTGGGAATGGAATGGACGGGACGGGAATGGAGCCACTAAGGAGGTTAGTCGCTTTCCATTTAGCTGAGCTGCAAATAAAACGACAGCAGCAGCAAAAACTTGGTCAGTTGGACAAACTGCAGTTCCTGTCTTTGGTTTAGGTCTTCTATCCTCCATCTATCCAAGTTCCCTGACCCGTGAACCCCCCTTTTTCTCCTCTTTTTTCGTGTCTGACAAATGACGCAGGGGCAAAGGCGGCAGACGAAACAGAGCCATCAATCAGTTGGCCAAGTTATGACGTCCGCACGTTTTATTCGCATTTTTATTAAGGCTTGGCGCACAAATATCCTGATATCCTAGCCGGATTTGTCCTTGGCTCTCGCGTCACTTGTCATCGCCAGTTGGAGTCTGTTTCTGTTTCTGTTTCGATCAAATCTGGGGCGGTTATTTTTATTTTTAGGAGGAGTAGGAGGAGGCTCCTAACCCATTCCATATAAAATATATATATATTTATTGTCAGCCATGTCACACTTCATAAATATTTCATAAATTGCTTCGCATTTATTTTGACAGTCGCGCCAAAGTTTCGACTGCCATTTGTTAACCCTTTCAGCTGCCGCTGTTGCGAATTTTTTTTCTTTGTTTCTTGGCCCCGGTTATTGTTATTTCTGTTATCATGCGAGGCAGTCATTGCCAGCTGTCACACATATTGTCCTCCCAACCACCCACCCACTTTCCGAATTTCCCCTTCCTTATTGCCAGAAAGTAGGAACCATTCTCGCACTTTTCGACTACTTTCAACTTGGGCTCCATTTCCCAGGGTTTTCATCTTGTACGTTTTTTAGCTTTTAGCATACCTGTCAGCTAAATAAAATGGAAACTAGTTGCCAGAGCAAACTTTCGCCTTCTTCTTGCCTTCTGCCTCTTCTGTTGACACATATTTCTGGGAAAGGGGGCAATATGCATATGCCTGCCACGCCCCTGCGGCATTCAGACAGACAAACGCCCCACTGCACTTGAGCTGCCTGCCACATTACTTTGGCCGTCACTCCCTTGATTTTTTGTGGACTTTCATTCCTGGTGGCCCTCTTTTCGGGCTTTACTTTAAGTTGAGAATCCCCCCTCGAAGGTCCTTTAGAGAGTCCTGGCAACTGCTTAACGCCCAAATTGGCAGCACCTGGCCAAAAGTGTTGGCTGACTGTCCTGCCAGATAAGTAGTTTCCCTTCGTTTTTCTCGCTTTTCTTTTCTTTTCCTTAGCAGCATTTTTTTCAGGCTGTGTGTTTTGACTTTCAACGAGGAGCGAAATTATTTTCGCTGTTGCAAGTTTGTTGCAACTTTTCCCTGACGCAAAGTGAAAATTTGTCATGCTCGTTGAGCTTTCCCACTTCCCCTGTCTCCCCTCTCCCCTCTCTCCTGATTATATAATAAATTCCTTCAGTTAGGCAAAAATGCTCCACAAAGACAAACACAAACATAAATACAGACTTAGCAGACAGACTCTCGTCGTCTGAGCGAAACTTTTAACTCACTTGCCAAATATTTTAGCAATTTTTGAATAAAACATTTCCAAGATTCCTGGTTGACAACCCCCTTTTGTGGCCGCTCCCTTTACTTATCCACCTGTTTTCTGAGCGCTTTAAAAGTGAGTTTCATAGGGGTTCTCAACTTAATTAGTTGGGATTCCTGACGCTGGAGAATTTCCTATCCTATCCCTTACATATGTACTGTATACACCCCAAGGACTCTTTCTTACCTTTCGATTCGAGTGCTGGAAAAGGACAAGTCACGTACAGCAGGAGTCCTCGATCTGCTGACTAATGCAATGTATCTGCAAATATATAGAGAGAGCGGGAAAACAAATTAGTTTGATATTACTTATTATAATGTCATGTTTCGGCCTCTCGTTACAGACATGTTTTTCAACCACAAAATTATAGCGTTGAACGGAATTGGTATATGCTTTATTCATAAGCCCCTGGGAGGCCTTCCCAAATGCTAATGGAAATTACGTATTAAATAAATAACAGCGGGAATATTATATGAATTGGGAAATAAGCTACATAATCTATTCGCGATATTAAGCAAGGTAGGAAAATTGCCGGTATTGGGAAATTCTGGTTATATAACTCACTTCATAAGGCTTATCTATGCTCTATGGTAAAGTCATACGTGTTAGCAAATTCATTTTTATGAATTATATTATTTAGAAAATATTTGGAAAATATTAAATATCAAAAATAATTTATTTATGTATTTAATGTTACAAGAAGTATTGTTTTAAAGCCCTTTTATAACTCTGTTCGCAGTTTATATAGGGAATTATTAAATTATGGATTTCTATCTTATATTATTTCTGGATTTTCTTATATAGTTTCCTATATATATTTTTAGGAAATTCCTTTTTGTATTTAATGTCACTAAAATTAGCTCTATCAAACCTCCACCCTTTTAGCGTTATTCATTGTGGTTTTTAATGGCCCTTGCAATGCCTGCTTTTTATACAACTTTATAGGCTTCAAAGATCAAAGGCTTGGCTCTCGGGGCGAATCTAATTGCGTTAATTTTCCAGTAATTGTGGTCCGACTAAGTTCACTTCCAGCCAGGACATGCGATAACGTAAACAGCAGAAAAAGGCCGGGAACAAAGGGAAAAACTATTAACACGAAGGTCCTTTGCGAGGAGGGGCGGGGGAGGCACATGTGTGCGAGGAATGCGTGGATGGTTGGGGAGGGGCAAGGGGTCGGTGGTTCGAGGGGTCAGGGGTCACAGGTCGTGGGCGTGGATGGCGCGTTATTCAAATAGTTTCGGTCGCCCGTTTGCTGCGGAGACGATAACGACGATGACGACAGCCCAAGCCAATTCCCCATCGTGGGCGCAATGCCACGCCCATATGTGTGTAGGAAAATGAAAATGGAATAATTGCATTGGCTACGCCTAAGGAAGAGGTCCCCCACTTTCCCGCTTTTCCACTGCAATCATAATCGCCTCCCACATTCGTTGACCATTTGTGGTTTTTTCGTCGTTTTTTTACTCATTGCCGTTAATTATGCCCGCATTTCTGGTTCGCCATCCACTTTTTGTGTTATTTGAATATTTAATAAGATTTATGCCATTCATGCCGCTGATGCCTTCTGATGATTAAGCATTGAATAATTGCTGACGGAGGCGGAATCCATCGAAAAAACGTAGATTGGCGGCGGGGGAAGTGCTTTTGTGGCGAACCGAACAATTGTCTGGGTTTTGTAGAGGGACTGGGGATATCGGGGCATCTAAATTTGATTGTCGGTGGAATGTCAAACAAGTTCAAACGGCGGCTGCCAGTGGCAACCGACCAAAGCGACCGAAGCCCCGAAATGAAACTCCAGAAAGCTAGAAAGCAGTTCTCTGCTCCAAACGGCGGGAAAAATCAGGAAAATGCCAATGGGGAAAACATATGGAAAATTGGATTCAATGACATTGATTGTTCAATTGGGCGAGGTTTTTCGTTTTTCCTTCGGGCAGGTGAGAGAGCAAGGTGCACAAACTTGTTTAGGCGGTAATGCGATACAGGAACACAGAAAACGATCCAATTTGTTTAGATCATTAGAGGCCTTCGGGGTCTGGAGTTTAGATTGCCAAACTTTCCGTATTTATATCGCATTTATTTCTATTACTGTTTTGTAGTTTACTCGAATTTATAAAACTAAACTTTGTCGAAATTAAAATGGGTGAATCATAAATTCACAGTGATAAACGAATTGGGTTTAAAGCTTCACTGAAAAAAATGGCACCTTACAAATGTGTAATTGAATAAAATATAGTTATATTTCTTACAAAACAAATTTAATTCCACGATTTAATTTTATATTTTCATATTTAAAATTAATAAAAACCTTTCGAAAAATTTTTAAATTGATTATGAAATCTCTTATTGGGCAACTTATCTTTTATCAGCGTTGTTAAATTAACTTTTCTCTAGTCTCATAAACTGCATTTAAATTGCTCACATTTAACTAAAACCCTTTCTCAGTCAGCTTGGAAACTAACTAGAACAAGAACATCGTACTGATTTGATTAAAATCAATTTACCAAATCGTTGCTCCGCTTAAACTCCCAGCTCTTTATTCACCCACATTTTATTCACCATGTGGAACAATTTGCATGTGGATAATCTTGGAGAGAGTCGCTTTCGGAAATTGCTGCAGCGCTTCCATTTCATGTGTGAGGCAATAAAAATTTAATATAATTACGCACAATTTCCAGTTGAAGTTTATGGCAGAGACATGCCAGAAAGGATGGGGATTTTTCGATGGAGAAGGGAGAGTGGAGAAGGTAACTCGGGGGAATCACATTCGCAGGACTCGACGTGACTTTTGACAGGAATGGGGGGTGAGTTCCTGGGACTTTATGAGCCGCCGCTTCGCCAAGACAAACATAAACACTTGTGCTTCAAAGGGCGGTGTGGGCGTGGCAGGGGCGGCAGGGGTCAGGGGGCGTGGCAGGACTGCAGCTGATTTCATAAAGTGTAACAAGCCAAAGCTTTGAGCTCAACTGCTGCGACAAATAAGCGACAGCGGAGCCCCGAAGCTCCCTTTCTTGCAGGAGAAAAGTTTGCACGTACCAAAGGATATCAGAGTGTGTGTGTGTGGGTTGTGGCAGCCTCCACACACGCACACACACAGTCTCAACTAGAGGACACGAAGGAGACACCGCTGCCAGTGCCTGCGAGTTAAATATTTGCCTCGCTTGTTTACATCCAAGACCCCAAAAGCAAAGTTGCCACACGACTCACGATCCTGGGGCCTCCTTCGTCCTTTCTCCCCAGCCCCGAAGTCCCCTCGAGTCCTCATTTGCCCTTGGCAAGTTGTTATTTCTTAATATTGAGGAGCTGCGGATGATAGGCGGCATGATAGGGAGTAGCGGGTAGAAAAACAGCAGTTGCTGCGGGGCGTCGGGCAACTTAACATGCGACTGGCATTTCCCCATCCTAAAAAACATCAATTGTTTGGTTTTTTCGTACACCGAAAAATAAAATTATTTCGTTCGAAAGTTTTTAAAACTTAAAAAGCATTTAGATTTTTGAAAACATTTGATTACAGATTAATCAATAAAGTGTTTAAAATTAATGTATTCAAGTATCTAAAAATTTAATTCACATAATTAAATTCAAGGTGACAGGCTTTATTAATTAATTATGCAATAAAATATTTTAATAAGGATACCCTTGTTTTTTTTAGATATTCTTGAGAATAGCGTCCTAGCTTCAACTCGAAGTCGGTTTGAATACCGCTTAGATACATTTCAAAGTAAAATAAGTAAGTAACTAAATAAATAAATCATTAATGACTTTATTTATTTAAGAAAAAATGTAGGGGAGTGTAGGGTAAGGTGACGAACGATTCGTTTTTTGAATGTAACTTTTGTAAAAATCAATATTTTTCAAAAGTGTAAACGCAGAAAGTTGCTTACATCTACTGAGCATATCCCTGTAAAATTCGAAATTCGAAATTCCAATGCAGCTAAATCCCACAGCGTTTGGCGTGAACCCTACTTTTTTTGCACTTTCAAAAGTTGTAGGGTAATGTGACGAACGATTTGTTCTTTAATGTAACTTCTCCAAAAATCAATATTTTTTAAAAGTGTAAAAGCAGAAAGTTGCTTACATTTACTGAGCATATTTCTAAAAAAATTTGGATTCGAAATTTCAACGTAGCCAAATCCCACAGCGTTTGGTGTAAACCATCCTTTTTACAAAAAAAAAAAACATTTTTTTATATATTATTTACGGAAAGGGTTTTTTCGATACGGAAAAGAAAAAAGTAATAAGATAATACCCAAACTTACAAAAAAAAAATGGTCAAAGTGCAAATTTTTTTTAAATTAAATTAAACTGACGTCACTATTAAAAACAACAATAAAACTGCAGCAGTAAATGTTATCTGGTATTATTATATTTTTTTTACAAATAATCAACGATAACAGTTAAAATTCTTGAATAAAAAAAGTTCGTCACAATACCCTACAAAAAGTTCGTCACGATACCCTACAAGGTAGACTTGGAGCAAAAACGGTGTCACTCTCAAACGGCGCAAAAGAAAAAAGCGCGAGGTACCAAAAACTGTTGATAAAGATCTCATGTATACGTGCATATATTTGCCTGATTTTATTTTCCACTCATCTTTGCTCTGGCACTGCTGAAACACAAGTAAATTGAATGGGTTTGCTAGTTTGCGCACCACATTTTTAGCGAAAATTACCTCACGAACAAATTACGGGACTTCTTATTAATATTACTGTAAATACATTGTCGACACGATAAGGGGAGACGACTACATTTATTTGGAATTTTTGTCGTGACGTCATATATGAGATCCGACGAGTTCGTCACATTACCCTACTCGTCAAATTACCCTACACTCCCCTAATAATAAAATCTAAAAAAAAATTGTTTTAAGTGGTTATTTTCTTCTGTGCACCTTGAATATATTCATTTAGGAAATTCAAAAATCTTCAATTTGTACTGAACCTCCTCCTCTTAACACCCCTCCCCCTTACACACCTGGAACAAAATACAACACCCACTCCTGCTAATGTAATTGGGTAATAAAGCTGCTTGGCCGAGTGTTGAGCAGCACCTGTCCCGTTACCGTTAACGCTACTCTTACCGTTACTGCTACCGTTACCGTTACCAACTATATAAACATTAGTGACAAAAATTAATTAGGCTGACACAACACATATATTTTCTGGCCCACGTTGACGTTTCATTCGTTTCGACGTGGCCATGGCCATGCTAAATGGTCATAATCAACTTCCGTTATGTCCGCACCCACTGCCACGCCCCCTCCG